AAATGTATGTTAATATTTATATAGTTGTAGTAAATTAATTAATATGCATATAGTATTAATACTCTAAAGATATTAATTAATTTATATCAGTATAAGATTTCCAAGAAATTGATTTATATTGCATTAATTGCGTTAATTCCGAAAAATAATTTTGCACAACTGCTAGAGAAGAAAGGAATATCTAAACTTATATACATAAGAATCTGGAAATTAAAAGCAAGTGTTGTGAGTCGTGATACTCCATTGATTATGAAACAATGAATTTCTCTGACCGATCTCCTATCGAATTATAGTAGGTGATCAAGATTTCAAAGTGCAATACTTCGTTCTCATGGTTAACCAGGCATGTCATTTTTTCACTCTAGCCAGAAACAAGAACCTGGCTCCACGACATTTCTCTGCTTCCTGGGTCTCAGATAGATATCTCGTTGTAGTATATAAACGCGTACCATTGGTAGAGAAACAAGAACATGAAAACTCAGAAAGGTATGCACAAACTCTGTTGCTCGTATAAAAGGAAACTCACTTGTGAAACCGCTCGGACGTCATTCTGTTCCTTGACCCTTTAGGAAGTTTCGTTACCGATGGCAAAACATCCCTGCTGGAGACAAAACTTCTTGGCACTTTTTATGTAAGCGTCACTTCAAATAACAACGAATACAGGGATCATAGATTTCGCATATTTTCAGCAGAGTAAAGAAACCACGCGTGCTGAGTATGGCGTCCAGCAGTATACTGCTCAAACGAACGAAGGTACTTGGATGGTGTTCTGTGGCCCCTCACCGAGTCTATCTTGCTTTCGACCGTAATTTGATAAGTCCTCTCTCGCTCTTTTACCAGTTCCCGCCTGTACCCGTCGCTCACCTGTATCGGTACCACGATACGAATACTTTCCGCCACCTAGTGTTCAGTATTTCGTTGCACAAGTGCGCAACTTGTCTCTACTCTACCGACGAACTTTTATGTTGTCCTTGCAAAATTAATCTCGTCTAGTATCGTTAATAATTACATAGTCTTTTACAATAATCATGCAGTTGAGTTTAGTATTTTTTAATTGTATAAGAATTCAAGCGTTTCTTTTAAATCAATTATATATTCGAAACTATTGAACACTCAAATTAATTTCACTTATATATATTAGATTTTTATTGGTTAAGTTGTTCATCCTTTATCGATTATGTGTAACACATTTTATTTTTTTTATGTTTTATTTTTTTTACATGTATTTTCATACATTATTAAGAATTTTGTGAATTTACAATAAAATCTTTCATCAAATTATAATAACAATGAAATTTATTTTTACAGTACAGATAAGGAAGATTCACTGAAACCAGTTGTATTAACGATTGCTGGATTAGTCGGACCCTTTTTACCAAAGATGAACTAAGAAGAGTTAAAGATGTAAGTTTCCAGTTTGGAGAGAGGACGCCGCAATCGGTGAGTGTGCACTTCTTAAATATAAGCATGCAATATAACAAACATTTCACGTTTAATATGTAAGATTTTCTATTCTTCTCTTTGTGTAATTTGTGTATGAATGATGATTTTGAAGTTTCATTGAGATGTTACATCAATCAACATACGAAGATTACATTGAGTCCAGAATCTTACAATGCTATTCATTTATTTCAACATACTTGCTAAATATACAATCGGCTTGTAATAAAACCGCTTATGTCAGGTAAAGAACATTGTTAGTGTTACACAAGATACTTTTGAATTCAATTGAATGTTTTTGTATAAAGATATTCAGATTCTGCGCATATTCAGTTGTCTAATGGAAATTTTCTTGATATGTTTCCTTATTGCATCCAAACATAAAAGTGAAAATGACATTTTTTTTTAAATATATTATTTATATTGCGCATTTATTGCTCTCGTTTAATTGTACAAAGGTATTTAATATTTAGTGCTAATCACGAGTATTTTTTAATTGTATCAAAAATAACCATATCGTTTAAAATAAAATTTAGCAAAACGTTTTTTATTAAAAATCAATTAAATACGTTAAACTTCAATATATTAAAGAGATTTCTCAATGCATTTTTGAATTTCCAAATGAAAAATATACTGAACTGGCATTATTTTGTATTTCATGAGTATTTTTAATAATAAAATACAATCGGTCCTTTTTTAAATTCAATTTTATATCTGTAAATATTGCATCAAATTTGCAGCACTAACAATGATAGCAAGCAATCCTTTCTATTGTTATTAACTCTTATATACTTACATATTCATCACAGCTTGATTACGCTTTTCTTGTTCAATGCTAACTACGTATTTTGCATATTTACATCATATCGTTCTAAATAATGAATAGAACAATGGTAATATGTAGTTTATAACTTTCTGGTATTAACACTAGAACTACCAAAGAGGTAAAAATGAGTTGTTTCAGACATTTTATTTCTGCAGTTGCTGGAAATATGCAGCTGCTTTCGGTAATGTTAATATTGTTTATTATATTCTAATTTTATTCATTTAGAATCATAATTACATATGCTTTTCTATTTTCATTGTACCACTTTAATTGATATTAATAATGTATATTGTATATAGATACACGATGCAGATCGATAGTTCTAGTGTTGAAACTACATTCAATTTTAGTGTACATGAAATCATACTTTGAAAATTCAAATTTATTACTATGGATTCACATTTAAATTTCGAAAACGAATATAAATATAAATATCTCTAAATATCAATAATTTCTTTAATTATATATCAAGAATTTTGTTAAGAAGAAATGAAATAAGGTGCTTTATCGTGAAAACAAAATTTTTAAATACCTTAATTTTGTGACATGTATATAGTTAGAGAACGGTTACTGAATTTTAGTTTCCCAAGTTAACTGTCATTTAACAAAGAATCTCCCAAGTATATACACCAGGCGCGAAATATTATATTAGACCGAGCAAAGAAGCTATCTTTTAAATATTATTAATAATATATCATTTTCATACGTATACATATTTTTTAAACATTGGTCCATTCAAACTCGAATAACAAACTACTTTTGTTTTCTGAACAAACGCAATTCATCTTTTCCCATTTTATTTCGTTTGCCAAGAAAATGTTTTTGAGCATTTCCATTACCAGTTTCTCATACAAAACATGTAAGGAAAACAAACGAGGAAGTTCCTCTAGACATAAAAACTCTTCTTCACTGTTTCCACATGTGTACTCCTTGCACTAAAAATAAATTAAACCAGAGAACGCTGTTTCTTGTCGTATGTTGATTTAATATGTTCAATCGTATTTCATTAATGTCACCATATCACCGTACGAGGGATATAAAAATAGATTTTTATATTCATTTGGCTAAGCCTTGTTTTTTTAAAAACACATATATCACTCGACGTTATCGGATTGTCATTTTTGCTAAATTTCTTTTCTCTCATACTCGAGTCATATCGTTCAAAGAAAAGGATATATTTTATCGAGTCTAAGATCGATTTCGACATCGTACACTGGTATAATATAATAGGCCGTAATCCACACGAACTTATGAAATGATTTAACAATAGAGTACGGAAATTTCTGACAATTAATTCCTATTTCCCATTACTGGATATTTCTTAAATACGTTAATAGAAATACTTGAACGTTGTACAAATAGAACGTCATACGTCATACGTATTTAAAGTGAATTTGATATATAACAAAACAGTTTTATATAAGTATGCGTATACATTGATTTCTTTTATCTTGTTAAACCTTTTGATGCAATTTAAATACATTTTTCTTCTATTCGAGGAAAATGTTTGAAATATTCACACACTCAATTGTATTTTATCTTTTGTAGCAGTCGCTTAACAGCGTAACATTGGATCAAGAAATGGGAATACAATATATTGTAAACGTCAAAAACTGGAAAACACCTTTTTAATAAAAATTCGAGAATCACTGAGAATGTTCCATAGGATTTCTACACGTCAACGATTTCTCTGAATACTTCAAGGATTTTAAAAGAGCGTTATATCTTTAACAAATTGAAAAGCTCTTGACATCATGCCAAATCTGAAATAGCATGAATGGTTTTCAATGTTTCCCCCTTTAACTTACACTCGACTCATCGTTTTATTTTTCACGTCGCGAATGACGACGAAATTGTCCATGTTTATTACAGAAGGTTTCTATGCTTATCTCTGGCAGAAGTATGTTTCATAATTCCAATGTAACTTCTATGTACTCCGCGTTACAAATGTTAATTTTGTACAGATCGATGGATCACATAAGAAGGTATTGATTATTATTTGTCATTAACACGGCAAGCTTCTACGTTTATCATATTTCCTTCGTAATGAAAATAACACTTTTTGAAAATGATTGTCTTGCAACAGAACGCAGTCCGCGGAAAGCCGTATCTAGCCTCACTTATACTATATGTTGAGATCATTGAGCACGTATCGCGTTATTATATTCGATATTATTCGTAGTCAAGAGCCGGAATAATTTATTTCAACGATTATAAAATGAAATGCAATGAAAACGATTATACGATAGAATTTATTTATATTAGCCAAAATTTGGACTTCTTAAGAAACGATAAACTTAATAGTTACTGCATCTATTTCTATATCAAATGTTGTCCAAATCGGACGTAAAAATACGATTGTAACAAACAGCTAGGTGAAACTAGATCTATCTTATTTAAATATGGCTGCAATTTTATACAATCCACGCAATATTTCAATATTTCATTAGAAATATTTAGCTTTTTAACGATCACGTTATCAAACAACGAACGATTGTACTGACTTGGGATACAACAAATTTATCAATTTATCAGTATCCTAATAAACGCGTATCTAACGTGGAAAATTCAATTGTCTCTCACTCAAAAATCGAGGGTACCTTCGTACAAATTTCCTCAGCTCATTTCTCATTGTTAGCTGTTACGAAGTAGTCTTCGAATCGATCGAAAGAATTATATACTTTGCAATAACTTTTAATCGGTAATGGGATCATCGATAAAAAGAATCGTTTGTTCAAACCTCATCGTCTGCTATGTACAAAATAGTTTCCTCGTCTTTTACAAAATCCTGCAATCTTATAGTCTCACTAAGAATATTATTCTCTTTGTGCTCCTGTTTCTTTGCTGCTCGATCAGATATCGAATTATCAATTTTTAATGTAACTTCATCGCATGTTTCAGTCTCGTCCAGATCGTCCCTAGAGCTTTCAACGTCCACCTCAGGGAGATTTTCTAACTCAGGCTCTTCGAGTAAGGCATCAGATTCAGTCGGCCCGTCAGACGATATATTTACAACGATTGATTCGTCGTTATCAACTGCATGGCTTTCGTCGGAATTGTCTGCTCGACTTTCCTCTGTGTCGAGTGAGGTTGCTGTGAAATACTTAAACTCAGCCTCGGATCCGCCACTTTCGATAACCGCTTGCGTGTTCAAAGAGTATCTGCTCGATTGCGAATCTTTTTGCTGTTTCTCGAAGGATGTCCTCCTATTGTCGTCTGACCTGGAATGATGTAGTTTAGGTTGCCGTGATCTTCTGAGGTTTTCGCCGCTGCTTGCCCTTGATCTCATTTCCATCTCGTCGGATAGGTATTTGGTGCAATCGATACTAAATCTCTCCACTGACAATTTTCTGGGATAAATTTATTAAACATTCTCATTTAAATAGTTTCAGAAATTCCTACGTATTTATTTTATCCGTTACAAAATTAACACGTTCCGTGTACTCTGATCTTAGGATGGTAATTATATAATTAAGCACTACTGTTATCTTTTTGTAATCACATACTTTAGTATTGTTAGTATTTAGTATTTAGTATATCATTAACTCCTTGGGAGTTACGGTTTATTATTGAATGTCTATTCCATGCTGATACTAATTTTGTAAGGTACTAGAAAATGTAACTATTAGAATAGTATCTTCTATTATTATTTAGAATATATATAAATAATATGTAAGTTGATACTGGTATAAGATTAATTTATTATGTCTAAGACAGTACATTCTCACAAGTCAATATATGACATAAACGTTGAGGTACATATATGAGAAACTTGCTATGTAATCCGTATATACACGTCAGTTCCGCTGTGAATCGACATAGGTCATGACGTAAGTGTACGATATAAACGCTCAAAGGGTCAAGTATGTTTCGATGGCTCGTTGAAAATTTTGACGTTCAGATGACACGGATTGTGTTAAGAAATAATTTGCAACTGTACTAATCGTGTAATAATTATGTTAACAAACAGTTTGTAGTGTTACCTGTAATCTCCTCTGCGAAAATCAGGACTCTTCCTGAACTCTAGACTGGCTTTACGTTGACCCATAGTTCTCTCGATCCTACGTTCGCCTCCACCTTTATCGAATGACATTTTATGGAAGCTCGGCGAGGAGATCTTGCGGAAATCTCTAGGGGATATTTTTGTAAGGTCTTTTGTCGCGGTCAATTCCTCGAGCAATCTTATGTCTATCGAATTTCTTTTCCTTGGTACAAAATCATCTGGGTATTTGCTATAGGCACCTGTAGAAAAAGATGGAAAGGAGAGGAAAGGGGTATGATTCGTTAAAAATTCGTTATCGACCGATGATCTGTCGAGTTCGATAGTGATAACTGACCTGATAATTTAGGCGAATGACCACGTCCCGTTGGGGATTTAACTGCTTCATCGACCTCTTCGACATAATCGACTTTTGTCTGCCGAAGCAATTGATGACGTCTCGCAGTGTCTGACCTATCTTTGACTTTCAGGGTAACTGGACCTTTATTAGGGATGTGCAGATCCATTGCCATCGAGACCTGGCTGCCTCCCATCTTTTGTTGATCCAAGCTCTCCCTGCTGACCTATTCAGAACATTACATCGACTGAGTGCAAACCACTAATTAACCCTTTCGCTACGGTATTCTCTCTACTGAAAATATTTTTGTTACCCGGCTAAACAAAAATTTTGTACGTGAACAGATATTGGTATAAGCACATAAATAATTTACATAATCAATTATGGCATAATACATGTAACTGGTAACAAAAATGATACCATGAATGTCATAGAAAATATATATATAGAGTTTTAGCAAATGATTATGTATTAAATATTCAAAGTTTTATACTATGTATACTATAAATTCTGTCTATAGTATATTTGTACTATGTAGTATACCCTATATGTGCTATTTATACTATGCATATATGATATACTACATGTATGTGATCTATAATATGCATATATTATATATGTATTATACATGTACTATGTTCTACAGTATGCTAATCGTAGCGAAAAGATTAACAAATACTCGACGAAATATACATTGTTTGTAGTCTTTTATTATACCTGATGAGGACTGTAGCTTGGATTATCAACGGAGAGAGCGTGCCTTTGCAACAATTCTGGGTTTAATAATGCACATCCAGCATACTTTGGTACTCTTTTACGAGGTGATTTCTTATCTATCAGCGTTGGCGCACTGGGACTCTTTTTGATCGAATGCCCAGCCTGTTTCTCGTTCAGCTCTTTCGAGAACTGCATGAACTCCGCTGTCAATTGTTTTCTAGAGACTTCTTGTATGCTCGGGCTCGGGCTTCTATTCACTTTGAACACACCCAGCTGATGATCCCATTTGGTCGTTTGACTAGACGTGGACCTACGGTTCCGTTGATTCCTCGTGTTTTTTATTGTCGACGTTTGATTAAAGCGAAAACGGGCTGGCACTACTTTGGCAGCGTTATCACGAGCCTCGAAGGTCATTACGCATGCTGCTACTACTATAAATCCTGTGAGATTTTACTGCGTTACTCGGAGATCATGGCTTAGCAACATTAATTATTTATAACGTGACGACAGGCATTATGCATGATAGTATCTTTTATGTACGTATACGTATACAAACTGATATTGTTAACAGAAGTAGCGTGGCTTTTAGAGATAGGCTATAGTAAATGAAAGTAAACCATTTTTTAATTCTCAAAACAGGAAAATTGCTTAAGAAATTGTTCATGGGAAACGTCGAGTGGGAAAGTAGAGTCTAATGAAATAATGTTTATTGCAAAATGGATGAACAAGTAGTTTATTTGTGAAACTAAATTTTATTGTTCAATCTTACTTTGTTTATTTTGTAATTTTATTGTAATATATGTAATAAAAGGTCTGGAAAAGACGTGAATGATTTGAAATTTCTGTTTGACGGTGAAAATGGTAATTTTAAAGTTTTTATTTTTAAGCTCTGAATGACTGGCAGGTCTTTGATGGTTAATCACGAATTAAAACAAAAGTTGGGGAATATGTCGATATTTTCTTCCTTTGCTCTTTTGTGTCGGAAGTAATCAATTTGTGAAACGAATCGGAGAACAAAGCGTTTATAAATCATAAATTAATTAACTCGAGAAGGATATTTTGTTGGTGCTATCAGATGTTAAAATAAACCAGTATTTATATATATTACTTTAATATTAATTATGTTATATAATTAAATAATGTTATATAATAATGAAAATAATACTTCTTTACACGTATAGCAATTTATTGTTATTGCATGGAAATGATCATTTAAAAACGTGGTATTAGAAGAATATATTTTTGCTATGAAATAAATTACTATTTAATTTGCATTATTATATTATATTTTATAAATTGATATAATATAACATATAGAAGAAAATATATCAACTTTATAATAAAATAAAATATAAACGTGCAATTTTTATTACTGTTATGTGTATATAATTAGTTACGTTACGAATGCTTTAACATCGAATTATTTTCATTAAAAATAGATTTGGTATAAATAAGAATTAAGATGAGTTAGTAAAAAGTAACTTAAACTTTAATCGTGATACAAAATATATGTCTAGATATCGTTACTAATTTTTGCTAATTAATGGAATAATCATCTGATATAATATAACGTTTGAGTAAATAATTATTCATTTGTTACGATATCGTTATATACAATTTAAAAATATTTTTAATTTATCCAAGAAGTAATATCTTGCGTTGTCTATTATTTCCAAGACGTTCCTAACCATGAGCCTCCATAGCTCAGGGGTTAGAGCACTGGTCTTGTAAACCAGGGGTCGAGAGTTCAAATCTCTCTGGGGGCAAAGCAATATTTTTTCATTTTTTTTCTCGGAAAAAAACATCATTGTTTCAACAATAACTAAATACCATTTTCCTCGTTGCAATATAAATTAAATTCTCGATAATACGCGATCTATCTTGCTTGCCTTGCTTTCATATTCTATTTTAGTTCAGTTACACTTTGTATTTTCTTTTTCACAGTCGAGATCGATAGAACATGTTACACAAGAATATACTAAAATGTTCGTATACCGTGACACAATTCTGTGCCTATTCAAAAATCTCACGTATCGAAACTTGTCTTCGATTTCGCAATCGTAATGTCAGGGTCAATTAAACCGCGAGAACAGCGAATGGCAATAATGTTTAAAATTAGTCGTTTACCTATTGAGTCCTTTAGCTATATTAAAACAATGACGTAGTCTGCGCGTTGAACGTATAAAGTGAGAAATATAAAACAATTTTAGAGTCTTTGTAATATATTATCATACCTCCTACGCCCATTACGATTGGGCCAGCATAACTGAGGTTATTCAGATGAAATCCACGTGATTCATTCTTCACTCTTATTGTAAGATTACCTCTGATTTCTTGCGCCACGGATAGCTGATCTGCATAGTACCCTGTACGATACGCAGACATATATAATTTTCTAATATTATTCACAGAGTAAGAGGAGTTACACATAACTGAGAAAATTATTTTGCTTTGCACAATATAGGAATTCAATCAAATTATCGATATATTCCACTACTAGAATAATATTAATCTCGATACATGCAATTTATAATTTAGAAATATCGTTGGCTAATGTTAGAGAAACTTGGGTGTAATTATTAACGGGTAATATTAATTATTTTCATGCATGCTGGTCAATAGCTATAAATTCGCGAGCAGTATAATCGTATGTTACCTTATGCAGATACTATTACATAAACACAGAAATTTTTTAGAAAGGAAATTATTAATCATTTATCATGCACGTATAGGCCAGTGAGAAGTCGAACTGGTCAAGTTCAATTTTTATAAATTTTTCGATTGCAGCTAAGGCATGCGAAATTGGAATTAGAATATGATCATTGTTCACACTTTTTAAGAAAAAATGTGTCGCAGGAAATATGCAAGAACGAATTAATTCGACGGATTAACATTAGAATTACTGACTTTAAACGCGTGTCTAAATATACAATACTATATTCGGATAATAATAATTGAAGCTTGACGAATTTTTATTTATTATTATTTTATTATTTATTATTTTTCTGTGTCGCAGAAAATATACAAGAACGAATTAATTCGACGGATTAACATTAGGATTATTGATTTTAAACGCGTGTCTAAATATACAATACTATATTCGGATAATAATAATTGAAGCTTGACGAATTTTTATTTATTATTATTTTATTATTTATTATTTTTCTGTGTCGCAGGAAATATACAAGAACGAATTAATTCGACGGATTAACATTAGGATTATTGATTGTAAACGCGTGTCTAAATATACAATACTATATTCGGATAATAATAATTGAAGCTTGACGAATTTTTATTTATTATTATTTTATTATTTATTATTTTTTTGTGTCGCAGAAAATATACAAGAACGAATTAATTCGACGGATTAACATTAGGATTATTGATTGTAAACGCGTGTCTAAATATACAATACTATATTCGGATAATAATAATTGAAGCTTGACGAATTTTTATTTATTATTATTTTATTATTTATTATTTTTTTGTGTCGCAGAAAATATACAAGAACGAATTAATTCGACGGATTAACATTAGGATTATTGATTGTAAACGCGTGTCTAAATATACAATACTATATTCGGATAATAATAATTGAAGCTTGACGAATTTTTATTTATTATTATTTTATTATTTATTATTTTTTTGTGTCGCAGAAAATATACAAGAACGAATTAATTCGACGGATTAACATTAGGATTATTGATTGTAAACGCGTGTCTAAATATACAATACTATATTCGGATAATAATAATTGAAGCTTGACGAATTTTTATTTATTATTATTTTATTATTTATTATTTTTTTGTGTCGCAGAAAATATACAAGAACGAATTAATTCGACGGATTAACATTAGGATTATTGATTGTAAACGCGTGTCTAAATATACAATACTATATTCGGATAATAATAATTGAAGCTTGACGAATTTTTATTTATTATTATTTTATTATTTATTATTTTTTTGTGTCGCAGAAAATATACAAGAACGAATTAATTCGACGGATTAACATTAGGATTATTGATTGTAAACGCGTGTCTAAATATACAATACTATATTCGGATAATAATAATTGAAGCTTGACGAATTTTTATTTATTATTATTTTATTATTTATTATTTTTTTGTGTCGCAGAAAATATACAAGAACGAATAATTTAACGAATTTTTATTTATTATTTTTTTATTGGAGTAAAAGTTAATATTAATTTTGTCGAAAAAAAATGTAATAAAATACTTGGAATCAATTATTTTAACTTGTTTGGTAGTTCCAGCGTTGAACAATAGGAAACTGAGAAATAGATATCCTTCGGCAAATAAGCAAACAATGTAAAACGATGGAAATTGATGTTATTAAATTGTATGAGCAACATAAACAGAATGTTTACATTTAACGTTTGATAATTAGTTAATTCGTAATTAAACTGCGTAAGCATTCCTTAATGACTGAGTTAATTCATTTTATGCGTTTATAACCATTTCCTGATGACGAGATAATTCATCCTGCATGCTAGATAATTGCTTTCCAACGATGAATCGACTCGTCTTGCATGTCGACTGAACATTCTTTAATAACGAGTTAATTCGCCTTACATATTGCAAAAGCATTTTCTATTGACGAGATAACTCGTTTCGTGTATTGGACAAATGTTGACGAATTAACTCGTCCCCCGTTAGATAAATATTTTTCACCGAAGAATTAATTCGTCGTACACATTGAAAACTCTCCCTCTAACGTCGAGTTAACTCGTTATCTCCGGGTTGAAAGGTTAACTTTCTCGAAATCGAACGATTTGTCTTGATAGTCAAGACAGTCGACCAGTTTAACTTCTGCGTGGCTTGCCCATCTATTCTAATAAAAGACGAAAGCATTCAACGATCGTTTATTGTTTCTCGATAATTACACTAAACTCGTATAAATTTTCTAAAACGAAAGGTGTCCAATTCGAGACTCAAGGAAGTCGATATCTTTTGCTTTCACGATTTTCGGTTTATTCGTTAGTTTGTAGCAGTAATAATGTTAGTGGAAATTTATTAATCGCCACAGTGTTACTCACCTATGATCGCCATGCAAGCTCCTAAAATCATTAGTAGCAGACCAATTCCGAGAGCTTTGCAGGCGTACCATAAGCACCGCGTTGTCACCTTGCCTCTCACCACCTATTTGATTTAATTGCTTTCGTTAACAGTTAATAACCTGGACGATGTCCAGATGTTGGCTGGTCGCATTCGTGGCTGCTTTACCTTCGTTTCGCTTTACCCAGTTCACGGTCTGCTAGATCCATCAGATCGATTCATTCGTTACCATCTGTAGTGACACTATATACATATGCATCGTGACTCTAACGAGAGATTGGATTTTTAATCCTCTGTACCGTGACTCGATAGTTACACACCGATATGGCTATATTTAAAAGGCTTTATACAAAATTTTTATTTTAAATGAAATCACCTTTCTGTGACAATCACTAATAATCCGAGGAATAGTAAAAAAAGGAATCAAGGATAATTTTTATCTGTAATTATCTGATCTCTCAATTCGGTTTTCTAGGGAAACAAATTTCCCATGATGAAAAATTCATTAATTTTCTATCCACCGTAACTTTGGCAGACGAGATTAGCTTTTTGAGAATTTCAAACACAATTTCGCGATTTTTATTTCATTTTCGAAATAATTACTTTGCTATCGATTAATTTATTCTTCGAAATGGTTCGTATCGTGATCTCGTTTCTAATATTGGATATGTTCTATCGCGAGAGGTAGTCTAAATAATATTCTCTACGTGATCTACCGTTCAAAATATATCTACGAATAATCGATTCTATGGAATAGTTTAAAGATTGCAAAAATTCTAAAAAATATCGAGAGTAGCATAAATTTGGGAGGACTAAATTTCGGAACGTAAGTTAGGGTAATTTTCGCCGCAAGCATGCTTTCTCTAGTGTCTGGCAATGAGTTTATTCAGTTACGTGCTAGTTATCAAAGACACGAAGGCTAAATTTATTGCAGCTATCTTTTTGGAGAACGTAAATCTGTCGAGTGATTAAATAGACAGGATTCTGTCGAAAATTTTCATTCGCATGAAAGTTTTTGCTCGTTAGTCGTCTCTCGAATTGCAGAGATAGATAGGGGTGGTAGCATTTGTATGCACTGGTACACCCCTGTTTGCATGTACAGTGAAATAATATATAGAGAAATGCTTGGATACGTGTATCAGTTTCCAGATTGATATGTCAACATCATTCAAGTAATTGTGTTTCGTGGAAGCTAAATTGCTACCTCTCTGTTGTTGAGAAAAGAAAGATCAATTTTTCATGCTTATCGATGTCTCTCGCAGAATGTTTCAGATTTAGCACTCAAACCTCGCCAATATTTGCAGCGAATGCAAGTAAGGGAGAAACATTTACTCGAAACACGAGAAAGGTTTTTAAACGCAAGTTTCTCCTTTTAAATGTGAAAATCCTGCAAGACTGACGAATTAAATACGGTTTCTAAAACATAATTTCGTTATTTTAAATTTTTTGTTAGATAAGATATCAATTTTATTCCCAGAAATTCTTTTTTAAAAATAAAAGGTCGTCTATTTTATGCACAATATTTTCATAGCAAATCTTATCTGTTTGTGTATATATTTAGAATTAATTATTGACCTGCATGGTATGCCCAAATGAGATATTGATAATAATAATTAATAACATAGACTGTGTGTATAATAGCATAGATAATAATATTATAGAGGTAATAGATAGCAATAGACGATAATGAAGATAATAATCGATCGCAATTATCGAAATAGTTCGACAGAAATAAAAGGGAATATATCATTTCGAATATAGTAATTTATATATAATTATAAAATATATGTATATTTATTGTATAATAAGAGTGAACATTAATTTTGCTAGAAGCAGTTAGTTTTCAGTAATTGCAAAGCAACAAAGCCCGAAACCAGTCGTTTTGTATAATTCGGCAATTCTAGTAATATTTGTTTTCAGAGGATACACTAGCACGGTTCAACTCTGCGTTAATTTATGCAGATATCGTGTCTGTATCACTAGACATGCTCTATTTGTACGATATTTATCTATAACATAACATAATGAATCAAAACGAAAAAAAAATATATGTTATTTCTAGAAAAAAGGAGAATTACTTATGCAAATAATCGACTGAGCATACAGTCACGATTTTCTCGGCAAGACCGAAATTATTTTCGTTTACCCATAGATACAAAATTGCACTCGATATCTAGGAAAGGAAATTATTTTCGTTTACCCATAGATACAAAATTGCACTGGATATTCAGGGAAAGAAATTATTTTCGTTTACCAATAGATACAAAATTGCACTCGATATTCGAGAAAATGGTTTACCAATATACAGATTCAAGTAGAAAATGTGAAAGATTAAAATATTTACGGATGTATTTACGAATAATCGAAAATGATTTTTAGGTCCAGTGGACTCCAACACGTTGGAGGGATATTAATTTTAGAGGATCCGGATGAAAGTTTAAATTATACCTGAACATTCCAGTGGGCTCCTGGACCGCAGGCTCTCCTCTGCGTCCCTTGCCAGTGGATGCTTCCTTGGGGCATTTTGTGCTCCTAAAGTTGAATAAATCCTGCATTATTTACACGAGTCGACGTTGCGACAAATTTAACGGAAGATATTGTTGTAGGAAGAGGATAAAGTGGAAAGTTGGTTGGCCGGAGGCTGAGATCATTGAAGCTACACAAAGAAATTGAACGAAGCAGAATGCAATAGTCTCGTAACGAAACTGTACCCCTTCGATTATTTTCGATCTTATTGCTAATAAGTTTGCATTTTACCAGTTTGACTTTCGTATTTCGAAACTAGGTATCGGTTTTCGACATGAATGCTTCCGATTTGAATCGAAGTCATTTCCAGAAATAGGGCCCATAAGCCAAAATGACGAACCGAGTATACTTCGATGCAAGTTTTACTTCTAGTTTTTCTATAGCATACCTATGATCGAATTGTTAATTATGTGGATGATAATGAACACCGTTAGTTAGGTTAGGTTAGGTTATGTTGTTCCCAAAAAATGTTCGTGTTCGTTACCTAACATCATTATTGAGAACAGAATAATCTTTAAGTTTCTAGCGATATAAGACAGCGTAATTTAGGGTAATATAATTTAGAATTATATTTTTCAAACATAAGCCAAAATGACGAACCGAGTATACTTCGATGCAAGTTCTACTTCTAGCTTTTCTATAGCATAGCTGTAATCGAACTGTTAATTAGGAGGATGATAATGAACATCGTTGGTTAGGTTAGGTTAGGTTATGTTGCTCCCAGAAAATATTCGTGTTCGTTACCTAACACCATTATCGACAACAGAATAATTTTTAAGCTTCTAGCGATCTAAGATAGCGTAATTTAGGGTAATATAATTTAGAATTATATTCTTCAAATGTTCCATCGATTTATCTAAAATTGAGATCGTTCGTGAGAAAGCTCAATTATTTCTTTGTTAATTTTTAATGTACCTATTTTAAATTGTATTTATTGTAATAGTTTCGAATTATAGATATTAGAACTCGTGATTATATTGCCCTCCAAGTACAGTCAATCGCGTATCCGGTAATTTATTTGTAACGAAATTTTCGGATCATTTTATAGGTCACGACAGAAATCAAAATTCCATTTACAGCGTAGGAGTTGCGGCAACAAACCCATGCACAATTTCCTAGGTAATGTTCCCCTTAAACAAGTTACGCCTGTAACTCGCCCGCTCGAAAATGGAGTGCCAGCTCACTCAGTGCCTCATTTCATTTAACAGAAGGCGAAACTTCTTGCCCGACGTCGCTTTAATTCAACTTCGTGATACGTATGTATACGGCACTTGCCTCGCTGCTTTTACCATCCTCTCATTCACTTTTACACAAGGGTAGCTAGACGCAGCGCTGTATGGACAATGCGTCCGTGTAAAATTATCTGTCACCCTTCGATGTGTACGTGCACCACGCCGGAGCACACGTGAATGTGTAACAGAACAGGAAAAAGCATTGTTCGTCCGCTGTTTCGTATCTTTTCCGCATCTGCAATGAAAAGTCCCCACTTGGTATCGATCCGAATCCTTCTTTACGTTTTCTTTTGCAATCACTGTTTACATTCGAAAACTTGCTTCCCTCTTCTGTCACGGACTCAGCCGGGATTCGAGATTTATTCCAGCTCGATTGCGGTCTCAATAACGTCTCAAGGGTTCCATCGATATGTGTATCCGCGCCATCATTTTGAGTTTCGCTGTTTTCGATATCCGCAGAGCAGTCCGTGAAAGGTGGATATACATATTGTGTTGCAGAAAATGGTATGGGATTTTAGGGCCCCATTTTTTTAATTTAGTCAAGGTTAAGGAGATTTAAAATGTGTTTAATTGATTTAGGCTAGGGGTAATCCAATGGGAGATTTAATCTTCAAGAGGTTATAGGGGTTGTTAATTTTTAGGGTCTTATTAAAATAAATCAGTTATGTATTATATATAACTTTTCCCCTTCATATAGAAAATTAAGTATATAATTGGTAAAAATGTCATATTTATTTTTAGAATTTAAAAAATTATTCTTTAAAATAATATAGAAGAATTATTTTTGATTGAAGCCCTGTTTTATGGGGTAATTACATTCACTACCTTTATATAAATCCACCATTGAATATATTTGTTTAGTTACTTGAGTTATTTGACAATAGATTAATATATTTCAGTGATAAGGTTTTAATTCTTGAATGCTTGGGGAGTGTATGAGATATTTGTTCAAAGAATGTCATTCCTCTTAATTTTTACATGAAACTATCGTGCATTTTGAATATTTTATGTTAGAACGAATGATGATAAATCTGAGAATCATGTACATGTTACTAAGAGGATAGAAATAGTATATAAGACTTCAATACAATATGTGGAGCATGGCATACATTTTGATATATATTGTGTCCTATATAAGGGACGTTAGTATATTTCAGAAGTTTTCTTGAATTTACAAAATTCAAAAACTGTGTTAAAAGTAGAATCATATCTAATTTTGCACTAACTTTGCTTTAATAAATTAGAATTTTCGAAAAATTTATTTATTCCTTGAAATAATAACTTTATATTAAAATGAATGATAAGAAATCCGAAAATTTTGTGTTTTAATTTTATGTGTTATTAAAATGTATATGCATATTAATAATCGCTTGATTATAGTAATTGTTTGAATAACTGTTCATTTTTTTAAACATATTTCCAATCGATGAAATAAATTTATATTTTTGCTATTTTGATCACGACGAACTTTTTTAATTGCTGTGTAGATTTTCAGCTCCCAGTGTTTTCAATTAGAGCAACTAGATTATGGCACTTGGCCACGTCCTGGTGCCATATCAAGAGAAAGCCTTGATATACTACAGCCCTGATATACATTTTTCTTTTTTTCCTGACACATGTATACACACTTCTTACATTTATTATAATTTATTTTATTAAAAATATATGTACAAAGATACTGTAGTTACATTTAAAAATTGAAATTTGATATATGCATCTTCGAAAAAATGTAGATAAAAATATTCTGATTTGCAAATATATATTTGATTTATATATGCAGGTTTAAATTTAGTTCGATCTTTGCCTGTTTTGGAATATTCCAATGCAAGGTATAAAATTTCATAGCAATATTGAAATGGCCATCTCACGTATCGTGACCCACATTTACAATACGATATTTTAGATTCTCCAATTTTGGAATCGCTATCGTTTATTTTTTGAAATGAGTTATTTGAAACGTTGAGGTCTCGATACCTGTTAAAATGAAAAAAGTTTGGAGTTTCGAGAATTCGAAACTTTTTAAGTACATTTATCGTGATTCGGACTCTCGAGATTTTTCTCGAAATTTTTTTCTAAAAGAAAAGCATTAAATTGACGATTTGGAGCGTTATTATTTTTTATTTTTTTCTATGTAGTTATATTTCTATGATCGATAAAGATTTATACCATCATTTTGTCGAGACTTCGGTTTTTAATACAAAATATCTCTGTTACAAAACAAAATTAGGTCTCTTGATTTCGAATATTTCGAAATATTAAGTTTCTAACTGGAATTTTGGAAATTTAAGAAGTATTTATTTTATAATTATTCAATCAAATCTGAAATTTCATTAAATAATTATTCTTTGTCCATTTATCAAGCTTAGAAGAAGATAAGAATTTTATCAAGAATATATATCTGATTAATTTCCAATTTTAAACGCTATAAATTATCTAAATTCGTCGTTTTTTAATTATAAACTGCAGCTAATTGAAAGTATCATTGAAAATCGTGTTCAAAGTTAAAATCTATAATTGGCAAATGTCGATATTGAATTCTTCGTGTTTAACACCAAGTAACTTTCTTTTCCATGATGAAAAGATTAGTAATATTGAATGACAAACGTGAAACAAAGCAGGAATATTCGAAGCCTTCATTGATGGCTGTACATCGATTCATAATTTCCATATGTAAAGTTGTATTTAAATGGGAGATAGATATATCGAATGTTTTTTGTATGAAAGGTAAATCAAATTTCTGTTTCGAATATTAATATACTTACTGCTAATTTTTGTTCGTATCATTGATATCTTTTAAGATTCTGAGATCAGATTCCATAATATGCATTAAGGGATTTTACTTATTAGGTCAATCGTCATATTCTGGCAAAAATGAATTTTATTATATTCATTATAGCTGTTCTTATTTCCTCATTTTCAAAAATTGGTTAAATGCATAAGAAATCTTTCCATTCTTAAACAACTGTTATTGTTGCAACTATTTTTCACATAAATAAGCGAAATTTATATAAAAAAGGAAACAAATGTAAATTGCAGTTAAATTTCTTTTATATTATCAAAAAAGGAAGATTTTTATATGAATATACGTTAGTATGCAAAATTTGCATTTATTGCATTAGTTTCTAGATATGCTATAATTTTATATAACAATACTGAAGATCAAACATCTGATCATGTTTCCATACTCTAAAATAAAATTAATAAATTAAGTACACGTAAACAAATCTGTACATCAGTGTATTACCACGACACAGTTCAATTAGAAAATTCGAATTATGAAATTATAAGATACTGTACTTGGAAAAAATGGAAATGCCTAAGAAATTTTTCTATTCTTAAACAACTGTTATTGTTGCAACTATTTTTCACATAAATAAACGAAATTTATATAGAAAAAGAAACAAATGTAAATTGCAGTTAAATTTCTTTTATATTATCAAAAAAGGAAGATTTCTGTGTGGGTATACATTGGTATGCAAAATTTACATTTATTGTATTAGTTTCTAGATAGGATATGCTACAATTTTATAGTTAACAATACCGAAGATCACGCTCTAAAATAAAATTAATAAATTAAGTATATGTCAACAAATCTGTACGTCAGTGTTTTACCACGGCACACGTTCAATTAGTTCAATTAGAAAATTAGAAATATGAAATTATAAGATATTGTACTTGGAAAAAATGGAATTTCAGGTTTTATACTGATCAGTCTCGGAAATTCCACGCGGAAAGTTCCAATCGCTTATTTAATGTTACCCTTTG